ACAATGGGCCATGGAGTTCCCCTTCGATGTGGACGCGCTGCTCCCGGAGCGGATCACCGTGCTGGACCAACACCTGCGGCCCCCGGCCCGCCGACCCGGAACCACAACGCCGGCCCGGTGACATCTCAAGCCCGCCCCGCGTCCCCTCCTGGGTCCCCTCCAAACCTGCTCCAGGCACCACGCCCCCTCCCACTGACCGGCGGCTGTTCTTTTGATGTCCCGGCCCGCCCTTACGGTGACCTTTGACCCGAGACCTAGAGGGTCTTCTGGCGCTTAGGTCTGCGACCTTTGACCCCTTAGCCGAGTCTGTGGTCCCACCCAAAAGACATGATTGACCCGTTCTCGCAGCTCCCTCACAATAGCGGTGCGGGAGGAGGGAGTGCCACCTTGACAGCTGCCACAAGTTCAGGTGCAGCCAGGTGGGGTGGGGAATGGATGGGAAGACTCCTGGGCACAGCAGGAGAGCCTCAAGGAACCTGGGGGTGCCGCCCAGGGCCCTCTCATTCCTGTCTGACCCTCCCTCTCCTTTCTCTCCGCAGAGTGGACCTGCAGCAGCAGATCATGACCATCGTGGACGAGCTGGGAAAGGCCTCTGCCAAGGTACTGCCCAGCCCTCAGGTGCAGTCCAGGGGGCCTCTGCGGGGTGCTAAGGAAGGCCGGGCCTTGGGGAAAGACTTTCCAAAAGTCTGCCTTGGTCTCCCCGACAGGCCCAGCACCTTTCTGCTCCGATTACCAGTGCATCGCGGATGCAGAGTAACCGCCATGTTATTTATGTGCTCAAAGACACCTCAGCCCGACCGTGAGTGCCAGGCGCTCCTCCATCCCCTACTTCATTCCCTTCTCCCTCGGCCCTCCCCCTTCTTTGTGCCTCTTCCGGATAGCTGCCAGTAGCTTATTCATTACTTTCCCATCCTCCAGGGCTGGAAAAGGAGCCATTATTGGTTTCCTCAAAGTTGGATATAAGAAGCTCTTTGTACTGGTGAGTATTATCAGAAGCTCGGGGTTCCTATGCCTTGGTTTCTGAGAACAAAAGTGCTGGAGATTGGGAGGCAAAAGATGTTCGGAGCCTCGAAAATACTTTTCTTTATCGCTTAGGATGATCGTGAGGCTCACAATGAAGTGGAACCGCTTTGCATCTTGGACTTTTACATCCATGAGTCCGTGCAGCGCCATGGCCATGGGAGGGAGCTCTTCCAGTATATGTTGCAGGTATCAGTTACTTCTTCACTGGCCCACCCGAGTTAGAAAATGCTCCTTTGCCCTGAGCCCTTCCGGAGACTCTGCTGCCCCCCCCCCCCTCCCCCCACTTCCCCCTCCCCCCTCTTCCCTCCCA